GGTACTATCATTTGGCCATCTTTAACTAGCAAGTCGAATATTTCATCACATTTTGTGATGTCAAAACTATAAGTCTTTTTTGGGAACCTATCATTGGTCTTGTCTGGACCAATGGGGTTTTTCCCATTTGAGGGGACTAACTGTTTACAAGAGTATGGAGGCCCTTGTTTCAGTTCTGCTAAATCGACCTCTCCTTCCTCGACAGCTAAAGTATTGTCGAAGGATTCTAGCTCTTCGTCATCCATCTCAACGTAAGCTATTCTCTCTCTCTTGTGAGTTTTTGTTGCCTTAGCTTTTTCAGCTTTAAGGCGTTCGACTTGTCGAACTCTATCGGCCAGTTGGGCCATGTCTCTTAGGTACTGGGTATCTAGCTTCTTCCTAATGGAATAGTCTAAACCTCCCGCGGCCATTTCGACCAGCTCATGTTCTGGCACTTGTGTGAAACATCTCGCCTTAAGCAACCTAAACCTATTTAGATATTCGTCTATAGGTTCAGTGAAACGTCTCTTAACACTCGCCAGTTCTTTCAGGCTTATCTTGGTTTGCCCCATATAGAATTGTTCATGGAACAATCTTTCCAATTGGGTCCAATGGTGGATCGAATTGGGGGGGAGAGTTGTAAACCAAGTAAAAGCGTTCTTGGTTAAGGAACTTGGGAAGTATTTGATTCTTAGGTTTTCATTATTTGAAATGTCTCCTGCTTCGATCAAATACCTAGCCACATGTTCGACAGTAGATTCTGTCGTGTCCCCAGAGAACTTAGTAAATTTGGGGACTTTGGTTCTAGGGGGTAAGTCAGTTTGTAACACATATTCTGACAATGGAGATGTAAAGTTGGGCCTTCGAAAGCCCATGTTCATTCCATTCTGAGTCATGATCCTTTCGATCATGGTCGCCAGATTGTTTTCCAACCCCATGTTTTGGTATTGGACATGCTGAACCACTTCGTCAGCATTTTGGTTTCTGTTAACTAACCTAACCTCTGGGGCTATTACCCTAGGTTCTTCGACAGGTTGTTCTACAGGCTGTTGGGCCTGATTAATGGTGGTTTCTTCCTCTACAAATATCCCCTGATTTCCTCTTATTTGCGCCCTTTGGGGCTGTCGAATAGGTGGGGGTACTCCAAAGAAGTCGGCCAAACGCGTCATTTGCGCTGTAACTTGCTGATTCGACTGAGTAGTATTTTGTATTAGAGGATTTAGCACTGTACTCAAAGTTTGTGCCAACATTTGCACCATATCATGGTTGCTTTCGTCCATCTGTTGCCTCAAGACTGCTGTCGAGGCATTTGTAAGGCCATGGGCTACTTGGGACGTTCCTCCTAAGAGTTGGGTCCTATTTCTATTCGCCATGCCTACTCCAGAGCCTTGGAGTGGCGAAGTGGCACTCACGAAAGGGTCTGAATAAGTGGACGCAGCATTCGTCAGGCTTGCCAATTCAGAAGTTGGCATACCATAGAATGGAATAAATCCTGGGGGAACCACTGGCCTTGGGCCAGTATTTCCCCTTGGAGGGGGAGTTCCCAAAGTCATTCTGGGGCCTGTTAACGAAGTTATTGGCCCCGTGGTTGTGACTGACACTGCTGGCATCGAACCAACATTCGTCGCTTCACTAACGGTCATATTAACCGTTGCTCCCACACTCGTTTGTGGGATTTCATTGTTGTTTGGCGGATTCGCCATCTCTTCCCTTCTTCTGGCAGTATTATTATCGTTGGTGTATATTCTACCACTCCTCAATAACATACAACTCGAAAAGATGAGATTTTTTCAACAATCAACACACAGTCCCACCGGGTGTGCCAATTTGTTTACCTGGGGATTTGGTAAACAACCGCTGATCCTCCAAATGGTTACTTATTTGGTTACTCGCAGGATCGATCAGATTGATCCTATGGACATAGGTTGATTTTGAAGTTTAATTAATGTGGATAAGGCTTTAAGTAAATTGTTTAAAGTAAATTGCATAAAGGAAAAGGCTTGGTAAAATAAACAAGGCTGGAATGTAAAGGTTCGACAGGAATCTTAAAGGGAAAAGCATGTAAAATACTGGAAAAGTAAATGACTTGAATTGATTAAATTGGTGTTTCACACATACATTTCTCAACAATTCGTTCGCTCACACTGGGTACTTGAATCTAAATGAGTGACTATGTATCTATTGTGAACACACGCGAGAAACTACACGTCTACTCCTATTTATACAAAAACATTCCAAGTAACCGTCGGGCAGTTACACTGCTTCGAGATCAAGCCACTTGTCACGTTCTCCATGCTCGACGCTCCAGATCCTTGCACGTTCGCACGTAGTAACTGCTGGAAACCGTTTTCCCTCCAAAGCTTTGAATTTCAAACTGCTCCACTCTGGACCATCGAACACGTTCGTCAAGAGATGTCTTCGACGAAACTTCTTCGACGTCGAAGGCAATCAGCCTTCTTCCTTGGAAGAAATCTTCTAAGGATTCGGCCATCTTTCGACGGGCACTTCGACAGGCTTAGCCAGTCGAAAGCATCTTTCAGCTTTTAATGGCTGTCATCAATTGAAACAAAGGTGTCGAATTTAGGAGCCAACACATCTAGGAAAGACTGGTCCTCTAAGCTACCTGATGCTTTATGGGCATATAGAACAGCTTATAGGACTTCCATAGGAATAACATCGTTTAAATTAATTTATGGTAAGTCTTGCCATCTATCGGTTGAATTAGAGCATAAATCTTATTGGGACATTACAGCCCTAAATATGGATTATGCAGCTGCAGGTGACAAACGAGTGTTAGATATTCATGAACTTGAGGAATTACGAGTAGATGCTTACGAGAATGCAAAAATTTACAAGGAAGGAACAAATAAATTCCATGGTAAATGCATATTAAGAAGAGAGTTTAAAAAAGGGGAATTGGTCCTTCTATTCAACTCTCAGCTTCGACTCTTTTCGGGTAAACTTTGTCTAGGTGGTCCGATCCCTTTGAAATTACCAAGTTTTTTTCAAAATGACGCAATAGAAATCAAGGATAAAACTAATGAACCATTTATCGTAAATGGGCAGCGTTTGAGTCATTATCATTGCATTGACAACATAGACTATTATACCAGTCTAAAGCTTGAAGAGTTGCCCGCTCATTCACAAAATTAGTTTTTATTAAAACTTTGTCGAGCTTACGACATTAAACAAAGCGTTATGTGGGAGGCAACCCAAAATATTTGAATTTTGATTTATATATATATTAATGTTTTTGTTTCTTGTCTTTTCTCCCCCGAGTGTTTTTGCGGTTTAATTATTATGATCAATACTAACTTTCTCAGTATCTCCTTTCAGACTACTAACTTCTTAACTAACTTTAGAGATAGATAACGTAGATAATATGGTTGTCACATTTTGGAAGCGAGGCCCAGCAGTGACGTTATGCGATTCTTTTTCGGAGAGAGAAGGCACTAACAAAATTTGCGGATGGCCCTACCATGACTGCTCTAGGTATTGGGGAAAGCATCTACTACATGTTTAACCAAATAGGATGGGAAGGTTTTATTAGGAAGAAATGCCCCCACTTACCATAAGCTTAATCTAGAATTCCTAAGCTCCCTCACTTATGACCCTAACCTTTGAATGAGATTAAATAGAGGAAGGAATTCTTTTAGACTTGGGTTTACCTATCGCATGACCACTTGTAAGATTTCAGAACTGTTAGGTTTTCCTAATGGACCTCGATGCTTTCACAAAGGCGAAGGATAATTTATTAATGGAGAATGAACTCAACTATATTTGGGGTCAAATTTCTGGCCAACATAATCATGATCCAAATCCAATGCATTCCAACCAAATCCAAAACCCTGCTATCTGCTACTTCCACATGATCTTGACCTTTACCTTTTTCAGAAAACCTGAAAATGATACCTTAGTGTCTAAGGATGAACTTTTCATTATGTTCTGTGTTTTCCAGTTTAGACACATAAATGGTGTAGCCTTCATGCTTGCTAACTAACACAATATTGCACAAGATACTCATGGCCACATCCTGATCGGTAGTCTTGTTTCTATGATTGCCACTGCTTTAGCCTTCAAAACCCTACTTTCACGCCTAAACCCTTTAGGAGGCTATTTCCCAATGGACATCATTTTTTGTTTTAGTACAGGACTACTCTTTGTGCCGAGGTCACTACTCTTTGCCAGGATTTCTATGGATTTATGGATGTCGCAAATGAGCATTTTGACCATCTATTACAGGAGCTTCACTCTCTAAAGAGGCATTACCGCCTCGCTGACACCCATCGTGGTTGATTCTTCATATTACCATTTTTCTCATCTCTACACTAAAACATTATGGTTATTGTTTTGTTTAGTTGTGGGAGGAGATATATTTTTTCCCGCTTTCTAAATAGGATTTTTCTTTTACCGTTTTCTAATTTAGGAATTTCTATTGTTTTTTCATCTAGCAGCTCTTTAAGTTCGTAGTTTATTATCCTATTCTCAATATTTAAGTTTTTTTCCTTCAATTAATTCTATCATGTTTCTTTTAAATTATTGTTTTTATTTCAATTAATGATAACATAATAGTCACCAAAATGACAAGTACACGGTCCAATAAAAATGCATGCAACCTTGGTCAAAAAGAAAATGCAGCAACCCATTAATGTCCCTACCGCATGCCATTAATGCGTGCCACCCACCATTAATACAACCAGTGTCGCAACCGCCACACTCCCTTCCGCTCGCCATCAATTCTTTTGTGGCACCCACCACCTTGCCCATGCACCCTCCACAACTTCCCACCTCCCTCACATTATCACACATGACCTCCTTAACGTACACCCACTAAATTACCTTTATTTCACATTATTCCATTTAACCCTCTTTCAACTACCATATTTACTTACCACTCTGTATTTATCACTTCACAAACATTCTTCCATTCCACCATTCATTTCTACATTTCCGCTTCTTTATACTGAAAATTTTGTAAGCTACTGTCATGGCACAAGGGAAAGGTTACCAAAAAAAATTTAATGAAGGAAAACCTGGTGAGAAGCAGGCAAAACTCTACGCTGCTCTGCAAAATAGAGAAATCCTACCTACAAGGTATACTAATGAAACTTATCTAAGAACTTTAGAATTGTATGATAGTGTTAATCATATGCTAAATGTATTGGGTCTTAACCATTTTCTATATATGAAAGACCATGTTTATGTCCAACTCACACAAGAATTCCTTAGCTCTCTTATTTATTCTCCAATCCCAACACAGGTATTTCTAGTGGGACTGTTTACTTTCATATGTTCAATATAGGCTATGAATTCAGTTTCAACCGTTTAGCTGAACTGCTAAATTTCCCCCATAAAGATGGTGTTAACTGTGAGGTCCCAGACACTATTGGGTTACACAATGTTGTCAGCCCGTTCTAGAGGGCACTAACAGGAAGACCAACATGCAACTTTGAGGGTAATAATGCTTCATTGATTCATAACCTGACCATATGATATTTTTGCCAATTATTGGCATGCACCATTTTTGGCCAGGAAAATTCAAACAAGGTTAATGCTAAAAAATTCGTTTATTTGTTCGCCGTTTTTGAACTCGAGAAAATTAATACATTCCCATTCATGCTCCCCACATGCATGCACTCATCACCGCAAGACGAGGACACATCACTTTTGAAAGATTAATAACCTCCATTGCATGCGCCATAGGGCTATAGCATAAATTAGCAACCTTAGTACCTCTCCTGTCATGTTTAATTGATATTGACATGGCTAGGAGTATGAATTTAGTGAAACAACGACCATATGGTAAATTTGATTTAATGATTAATAAAAAATTCTTTCTAGATATCACTCTCCCAGACCCGAACCGCTTAGATGTTCGCAATCAGAATAACTTTTGCTATATTAATGACTTAGTGCCTAACCCAGTCCCTGCGCACATTCTTGAGAATGTAATTGCTGGCAGGGACACTGATGACGAGTACGACCGACGAGAGAGGGGATCTCCAGTGAGTACCCGACCCATCTCTCTCATGCTAATGTTACACATACTCAATCAGCACCTGGTTCTTCTATGTTTTATGTAGGCACCTCTTCTAGCGGCTATTATTTTACTGAAGTTATGATGAGAGAACAGATAGCACGTGAGGAAGAGCGCGATGGGTTGTTCTATGCTATGGATGGGAAACAACAAGAGATAATGGATTACAGGCGCACATTTCAAGCTCAAACAGCAAGCTCCTTCACCCAGGTACAAGAGAACCAAGCACACGTGGCACATAGCCTCCGCCAGCTGCAAGATTGCAACGCATCACTAGCAGCCCAAAATTCAGCAGCTTCAACTCTCCGAACGTCTCCACCGCAACAGGAGTCATCGTTGACAACAATATTCATCTGACGAGACAGGGGGTAATAGAGGCATGCATTAGCCTCATTTCAGCTTTACTTCTTCTTTTCCACCTTATTTTGAAACATTGGGGACAATGTTCAGATTAAGTGTGGGGTAGGTACTTTATCGTTTTTATTTATTGTTTTCTAGGTAGATTTAATTATTATGTTTATTTCCTTTGTTTAGCGTTAAATCGAGTCAAATTCATGTGTTGTCGAGTATTTATGTGTGGTTTCCATTATTTATTTGATTCTCCCAGTTTCTTGAGCCATAACAAATTAAATTTTAGTTTGATGCATGACACGACACTCTAAGAGTATATAGTTTGTTTTTAACTTTAGGTTATGTTAGAAAGACTTGGGAAAAGATTCAATAAAATCAGTACCGTTTTGACACCATAAACCCCCTAAGTATGCAAGATCAATTTGAGTACCTATTATACCGAGACCTTAAGTTTGAGTTTTAAAGTAGTCCTGAGTAGTTTATATTAGCAGCCAGCACCATCCTAAGCACACTCTACGTAGGAAGATCGATGAATATAAGTGAATGATCCTGACTTTTAATGAATATATTGTTTAATTGAAAATGGGAACGCGCCTTTTAAGCTTGGTGACCTTCACCCGGTCACTTAGTTTAACGGATGTTGAACCTTCAAAAAGATGATAATAATTACCCCTTGTTAGTTGGTCCAGAGGTCGTTGGTGATGGACTTGGTATGGCGGATCATGGCCCGATCCCCCGCAATTGCAGTTCAGAAAAATAGGGTTAGCATTGTTTAATTACCAAAACCCCGAGCGAAAAGGATCATAGTCGCTAAGCGGTTTTTTTACTATGATTGTGCACGGATAAAGGATTTAATGTGATTGCACTCAAATGAATATGGGAAAAATGAAACAAAAGAAATAGGTCGAGTTATAATAGAATGATTCAGATTAGTTTGCATAGGGAGGGAGTTTTTTATCACATTTTGTGATTTCGTATCACTACAGTATCTTTGGTATTGACATTCAGTACCTATCTATCACACAAAATCCTCGCAACCACGTATTATTTAAAGTTTTATTGTGTTTTTGTTTCAAACCCATGCTTAGTGTGATTACCATATTGGTTGTTTGCTTGAGGTCAAGTAAAGGTTCAAGTATGGAGAAATTTGATAAAACGAAATTATATCGTATATTTGACTTGACTCGCATGTATTTTAGTCTAGTTTTCATTTATTTATATCTTATTATGCCAGTATTATTGTCCTATTTTAAGTACCTCAAGCAGAATTGGTCACAGAAGAGATTTGAGTAAAAAGAAGAAATTTAAAAAAAATGAAGTAAAATGAGCAAAAGGCCCCAGAGCAAAAAGTCCAGAGAAAAGGCCCAGAGTGAACAACAAAACATGGCGTCTGCCACGTTCTCCACGCTCCCGCCACGCTACAAGGAGTGGCGCCCGCCACTCCCTCCACGCGCCTGCCACACGCTCTTCACACGCCTTCATTTTCTCCACCCATCACGGATTCTCTCCTTCCACCCAGTCTTCACGCCCTTCATGTTCTCCATAAATCTCGGGATCCTCATTCAACCTAACGGTCTGAGTGTTACGGATTTGTTTGAGATTTTTACGTCAGGAGTTGTGTATAAATTAGAGAGCTCATCTTCAGTTTGGAGCACCATAAGTTTTTAGTATCATTTTCGCAGAAAACAATTTTAGGCAAAAAAATTCAATTGTAAAAGTGATAGCTCTTCCACATTGGGGAACTATTACAACTTAGTTCTAAATATTCTCTTCTGAAATTTTCATTATGTATTTTGGATAAGCAATCATGCCCACATAATTTGGAGCAGTTATTAAGCAGTTGTCGTTTACAATATTATTCATTTTATAGCAGGTTCTATTTAATTTCTTTCTATCTGTTTATGATTATTTTGATATCATTGTTGCACTGTTGTCCAAATCTGTTCAAACTTAATTTAGATAATTATTGTTTCTGTTGAAATCATATTTTATTCCACGGTTAATGATTGTGATAATATGTTTATGTTTAAAACCATGTCTGACTAAATCGTTTGATACCAGTATGTAAGAAACATCTTCCAGACGAGATTCAGTAATAATTGGCGTTAATTTTTATAAACTATTTTTTCTGGTTATAGTTTCTAGTTCTAAAATTAAAACGGTGTTTTTGTACGAGAGTAAAAAGCAAATAAAAGTTAGGGTCAATAGAGCGACAATTTCAGATTTTAACAGGATAGTAGAAACTAGACATTAATCCTAAACACATCGAGAGCGCTTTAGGATTAATTAGAACTTATTGGTTTTCAAAATTACTTTCCATTCAAATGAGTGAGCGACAGCAAAGTATTTTGGTTTAAGAGTATAGTCAGAGTCAATAGCACGACAGAGTGAGATAAAGTCTTTTAAATCAATATTTTCTACTGAAAAGTATTTTGACGTTTTTAATACGCCAACGTTTTATCGAATCTCCAAAGTATGATGAGTTACATAGCGATGTCTCGTTACTTCTGTTAAAATTTCAGTTATCATTTGAATTTATTTCCTATTTTTCTTGAACCCAAGAAAAATCATTAGCCTTAGATTTACATAGTAACATTAGATAACATTAGTTTGATTATCAATTCATGTGGGTTCGATATTTTTTAAAACTACGTGATTAGATTATGCAGTTACAGTCAACAAACCCGATAGACTCTTAAAGTCGCGATCACTCGTGCGTTAGCACTAGTGTTGGTGCGCTACACACGCTTTTAGTTTCAAAATATAATAAAAATAAAATAAATAAAAAAGACAATATTATTTAACCAACAAAATTTATAATTTAAAAAAAAGTAATAAATTGGTCCCTATATTTTCTGTATATATAAAATATTTTAAATCAACGATATAATTTTTTGAATATAAATATTATTTATTGTGATATACCAAAAATAGTGTTTGAGATGCCAAAAAATTAAAATTTAAGTACACTTTACTTTGTTTGAAAAAATCTGTCAAAAAAACCTACATAAATTTAATTTTGAAAAGTAAAAAATTGTGGGTTTAAACAAAAACTCCAACTTATCAAATATTATACTTACTATCTAAAGTGGAATTTAAAGTGGAAGAGACTTAACTCACAATATTATTAATTGTACTATTATCAAAACTTACATTAAGTTTTCCAGTAAAAATCCCTATTATTTCTAATGACATGCCAATACAAAATTTGGCGCTGCTTTCGGCTCATGAACTCCATTCTAAATATCTACAATGGAAGTGCTGAGTGCCATGCTAGGCAAAACGTTCCTTTTAGAAATTTCAATTAAACTTCAATAAAATCATTTGAAAAATGTCCTTTGTAATAACTCAAAGGGACAATATTTTCCTGCTCCCAGTTCCATTATTCAAGTGTGTAACGTTCAGGTAAAATAATCTACTAGTACTTGATACTCTTGATTATCATATTCTGCATTATCAGGCACGAGAGAAATTCATATGAAAAAAGTTGCATATTCTTGCATTATAAGAAAATAAGCTCCAAATGGTGCCAGTACCGGTACTATAGAAATTCTTGTCATATTCATATGAAAATATAGTGCCAGAAAATTCTTATCAGAAAATATAGTGCCAGAAAATGCATTATCATCCGAATTTTCCTGCATTTTCTGCAAGTACACCCATTATTCAATTACTGGCACTATATTTTCATGCTCCAGGCTATATTATTCAAGTGTTATTTAGAGAGAAAATGCAACTTGCTTACGTAAACAGAGAAGAACGAAATCCAGAAATAATGGAAAATAACTATTTGTTGTTTGCTTAATGACGTTTCCAGTGGAAAATAATATGTATCTGCCTTTATACTGCAATAATTTAGTGATTGTCCTATATGAATTGAATCAAGGGTGTATATGCCTTATACTGCTGATTTAGTTTGTTTGATAAACCTGAATTGAATCAAGGGTGTGTGTCAATGAAAGCGCGGATACTTCAAATACCACAATAGTTCCCATAACTGTTCAAGTACTGGTGCTATAGCTGCATGCAAGTTGTTCCAAGAGCAGTAGTAAAACCAGCATGATTAAGGCACTGTTCAAACTTTCAGCTTCTATGGCAGTACTATTGACATTCGTCTCATTATTCAGATTTTAGAATGCTTCTCACCATTCAGATTTGATTATGCTTTCAGATCTGAGTGTCCAAGAAAAACCTGATAATGATAAACAGAATATGAGTATGTTTCTCATCATTCAGATTTGTTTACACACGAAGTGAACGGATAGACCTGAATCATGCCAGGAAGAAACTGATTCGTCCAGATCTCGTGAATTACAATACACGTGGTACAACCAAATCCAACAATATTGAAACCCTGGTTATGTTCAATACAATTAATCAGGTAAATTGAAAACAAATTATCAATTTATGACTAAGATAACAATCTTGCAAGTAATAAACAGCAAAACAAAAGGACAAAAATATATTTAAAAATCACTATTCCACAACAAAACTTGGTCTTCAGGAACACATTAGGCTGGATAGAGAAATAACAGAAACCAATATGAAATGGCAGGCGCGTGACATTTTCTTCCTGTGGTTGGCCGTAACACAGTCCCACTATTTACTTGATATATTCATATTACAAAGAGTTACAACATTAAAGTGCTAGAATGTTAATTAGAATTATAAGGTATCCTTAACATATATCCCAAAAACAATTCTCAATAACTAACCTGGAGGAAGTGATTGCTTCAACTTATCAACTTTCCCGGTATCAAACACACAAGGTGTAAAGATACTTGGAGCATCAAACCTTGAATTTGAACATATCTTTGCTTCTCTTGATTTTCACAGAATGTGCATCCCTTCCCCTCCGGGCTGTGAGGAGGAAGTCTTTAATCTCATTGATTTGCTTAAGCTACATTTCAGAGAACATAAAAAGGTTAAAAAATGACCATTATTCAAATCAAAACCTAGAAATCCAAACTCAGAAAACAAAACAAAACAAATATCAAAACCCTAAATCACATTTTTCTATGACTAACTCATAAAAATATATTAAAATCTATTGTATCAATTTCATGGTTCATATGAACATAAAAGTTTATTATATCATTGGATATATAAAAAATTCATAGCAGATGAAAGGTAAATGATATAAGGTAATCATAAACGAAAGACATTAGGATAATGATATAAGCCTTATGAATTCATATAGAAAACTGAAAATGGATGGAGATAGAGAAACTACCATTGTTGGTTTGGCTGCGATTTCCTCCCCAGTAATCACAGTCGGGACGCTCGGACTTGAAAGTTGAGAAGTTAGGAATCATAAACTAAATTGAAAGCAGAAATAAAAATACATTTGGGTAAAGTAAGTAAGTGAAAACAAAAATCCAGTGTCACACCTGCAACTTGTCTATGAACAATGCAATTCAAGAGCAGTTGAATTGCAATTCGAAGAACCAATGCTTGACATCAAAAGCTCATGACATGTCTAGGTGCAAATGTAAGCCAAGCTCTTGCTCTTCTTCCTCGCACCTGCTGTCTTACATGTTCGAGCTCTTGCTCGTCGGATAAACCCACTTCAGTCTGTCTGCGACGAAATCAATGAACAGTTACTGTCACATAAATAAAAAATGGAAGAAATAGTGACTGGTTGAGTCCTACAAATGCACCATTCATGTTGAATCTTGAGTTTTTAACAAATGCCTAAAAAGAGTTTACCTATAGTACCTTTTATTTTCACCAACAGAAGCAAGCAAAAGCAATGAATTGACATTGAATCATCTTTTTGACTAGGAATCACTGATAGAGTCCTACAAAAGAAAATATGATTATATATATGAGCAAATTAGTTCGTGTTTTGGGATGGTTATGAATTATTAACTGTGACTCACTTGACATGAGGAGGATAATATGGATCGTGGAAACATTTTATTTCTTTGAACATCAAGCTTGGCAAAATGCATAGCATGTTCAATTGGCCAATCTTCGAGAGCAGGGTCAAGAAAAATGCTTAGCATGTTCATAAGGTGGCTGCAGCAGGGGCGTATTCCAAAGTCTGAAAAAAACAAAAAAAAGTATATAATTCCTCAAAAACTGAATTATACTTATACAGAGTCATCTTTTCGCATTGAAAACTGAAAAACTGAACATACATACCAACCCTTTTATGGAGAGTGCACGTTAGGGGACCTCAAATACTACAGGGTCATCTTTTAGCATTGAAAACTGACAACGCACACCAGAATGCCAAGATTTTAAAATTGATAAAGCAATATTAGCTCAATAATCACCTGGAAGTTTCGGTACATCAACCCTTTCACAGAATTCATCACAGAAGTGGTTGCAGTTTTTGGACAACAAATCAAATGCACTTCCAGGCCACTCTCTACTGAGTTCTTTCACGATTTGATTTACCTTGATCTTGAACATGGAAAGGGATCTGATCCAATGGTGTATGTTCTACTGAAACCGCTTCCCTTTAGCATTCCTCTAGTAGTTCCTGCACTGCTAGAGCAAATCACACACTCTTAAGACATGTCAGAGACCAAAGGCAAAAATGGACACACTTTTTCTAACACTGTGTATACAAGTGAACACAATATGAATTATCGAAAGAAACATGCTAGACTTTTAAGATAATAGACATTACTACTAAATTCATGAAACCAAACAATCTGCAATACACTGAAAGAATGTTAATCTGAAATGGGGAGTGAGGTGGAATAATGTACTGAGAAGGGGTAAAGTGTTCCAAACAGAGATGGGTAGTGATCAATATCGACATTGGATAGACAAAACCAGACGTACGTGGTGATGTGCATTCAAAACAAAGAGAAAGAAACACTCTCTATTAGGCTCATATATTGGACTTTTAAACTAAGTGCATTCTATTAACTGTGTCTCTTTGGGAAGATAAAACATATTTCACAAAAAATACATATAAACCCTTTCTCAAACATTTACACACGTGTTTTAGCGTAAAACATATTAACCAACATCAAAACAAAAGCGTAAAGCATGATAACATCCTTCATACTGATTGACAATCTATGTAACTCTTCTCTGGCCTCAACAACTCTATCCCTGTCACTCTTGAGTCTCTTCTATCTTGTAAAACTAACCACAAAATCATCAAATCAACTAAAAAAACCCTAACCACAAAATCATCAAATCAACCACAAATAAAAAGCACATGATCATTATATCCACACATAAATAAAAAAGAATAAACAAAAATACCTTGGAGACAAGTGTTCTTCCGACTCCCTCCGTCGATTTCTTCTGCAAGAACCAAGCGAGAAATCAATGATGGAAAACCAAAACCCTAACCACAAAATCATCATATTAACCACAACCACAAAAACCCTAACCACAAAATCATCATATCAACCACAAAAACCATGACAACAAAATCAAAACTGTAATTTTATACAGAAAACTAAAAAAGTTTGATACCTGTACATTTCTTTCTCGCAACATTTCCTTCACTTTCTTATGCATTTCTTCTTCCACCAAAAAGAAGAAGACGAGGAGAGGGGAGAAAGATGAAAGAGAGAGAAAGGAAAGTAGCCTTGAAGACCTCCGAAGCACATGATATTTGAGAGAAAGAAAAGAGAAAGAGATGGAAGAAGAAGAAGAGAGAGAAAAAGATCAACAACCTTCGCAATTCACAATTGACAAACTCATTCTCTTACATTCTCATTATTGATAGAATTAGATAAGAGAAAAGAAGAAAGCAATTGGAGAAGTTGAGATTCTATTATTCTGTTTGTTAATCTTGAAGATACAGAGAGCATTCATAGAGAGGCTTGGATCATAACAAACTAAAAATGCCCTAACAGAAAGTGACAGCTCAGCAAATATTCTAACAGAATAGTATAACAGAAAATGTAAACTAATTGTCTAACAATATGACAACACTATTAGTCCCCTTTAAAAGTTGAGGGTGGTCTGGATAAGTCATTCTTGTTAAACACCTTCAACTTTCCACGCAGAGGAACAAACTTGGCAGCAGACAAAGGTTTGGTCAGAATGTCAGCCCACTGGTCTTGAGCTGGGACATGAACCACTGAGAGACTTTTGCTCAGAACTTTTTCCCTCACAAAAAAGATGTCCAGCTCCATGTGTTTAGTCTTATTATGGAGGATAGGATTATGGGCAAGTGTGACTGTACTTAAGTTGTCGCATAAGATTTTTGGCACTTGAAAGGGACAGTTAATTTCTTTGAGCAGAGACTGAACCCACAACAACTCAGCAGCCAACAGAGCCATACTACGATACTCAGCCTCAGCACTGGATCTTGCCACCAGCTGCTGCTTCTTGGACCACCAGGAGATGACATTTGGGCCAAGAAAAACACAGGCGCCTGAAGTGGATCTTCTGTCATCAGGGTCAGATGCCCAGTCAGCATCACAAAACCCTAGTAACTGCATAGGTTGATGAACAGGGGCAGGTTGCAAGAGTAACCCATGTTGTATGGTGCCACTCAAATACCTTAGGATCCTTTTGATTGCCTTCCAATGTTCCTCCAGGGGATTGGACAGGAACTGACAGACTTTGTTGACTGAATAAGAAATTTCAGGCCTAGTTAATGTGGCATACTGCAAGGCACCCACAACAGATCTGAACTGAGTAAGATCCTCAACAGGAATAGAACCCACCTTTGATAATTTACTGGTAGAAGCCATGGGAGTGGGCATGGCATTAGCATTGAGCATATTTACTTTTGAAAGTAAATCAGTAAGATACTTTGTTTGAGAGAGAAGAATGGAACCATTAGGGAGGTGAGAAACCTGAATGCCTAGGAAGTAGTCAAGTTGTCCCAACTGTTTCAATGAGAATTTATCATTAAGAAGCTTGATCAAGGATGTGTAAAGGAAGTTAAATTTCCTGTAATGATGATATCATTAACATATACAAGAACCATGATCTGAAGTTTGCCTTGATGGAGCAAAAACAGGCTGGGATCACACCTACTAGCTTGAAAACCATGCTGAAACAGGGCACTCTTGAGTTTGTCAAACCAGGCCCTAGGGGCCTGTTTTAACCCATAGATAACTTTGTTCAATCTACATACTAGGGACCTGTCAGAGGCTGCAAACCCAGGGGGTTGTTGCATGAAAACTTCCTCCTCAAGAGTGCCATTTAGAAAGGCATTATTGACATCAATTTGTTAGATGATCCATTTGTGTGTGACAACAATAGTAAGGATTGTTCTGACTGTGACAGGCTTGATGACTGGTGAAAAAGTCTCCTGAAAATCACTGTCAGCCCTCTGATGAAACCCTTTTGCAACTAATCTGGCCTTGTATCTGTTGACAGATCCATCAGGGTTTTCTTTGGTCCTGAAGACCCACTTGCAGCCAATTGGCTTTCTAGAATCAGGTGTTTTCACCAAAGTCCAGGTCTGATTTCTCATCAATGCTTGAAATTCTTATTTCATTGCTTGGAACCAATGAGGAGTAGCCAAGGCTTGATCAATTGATGTTGGTTCCATGTGGGTTAAAAGCATTGTGGGATTGAGTCTAGGTAAGGTAATGCCACTTTTGGCTCTGGTTTACATAGGATGCACATTGAGAGGATTGATAAAAGGTTGGTTAGAGGGAGAAAAGTTAGAGGAGCCAGTTTTAGAGGAAGAGGGAGAAATGATAGATGCTTCAGCAGGGTCTGAAAGAATGAGGGCAGGATGTGATCGGTGGAAATAGAACTGACTATTTTGAAATGCTGGTTCGCGTTTGCGTTTCGCAAAATATCGCGGTAAGCAAGAGTCGCCACCGTCTTTTATTTTCTCCAACAAGGAAAGGACAAAAGCACAGCAAAATTCCTTTTCGAGATGTTTCTCGGTTCGGGAGGTAGACTATAGAAAGGGAAGGTGTTTGCACCCTTTCTATCAGTGGTTATCCACGAGCTCTTAGGTACTTGCTCACTATGTTTTCAAAAGTTTTGCTTTTCTTGTGTTTGTGGGTTTTGAAAAAAAAAGTTTGTTTGAAAACTTCGATTTAACTCTTGTGTCTGTCCTCAAGAGTGTATGAAGTGTTGTTTGAAAACTTTTGTCAGAAAAGTGTAAGTGCGAAAAGTTGTTTTTGTTTTGAAAGAGCAAGTACCTGAGAACCTCTACCTACTCAAAAGAAATTAAGTTGTGTAAATGTCCTTTAGACAGTACTATCCCACTATTGAGAAGCAGGTAGCACCGTCGTTGGAGTTTTCGGGTCAATTCGATTATATGGGACATGTGGTCACTAAAGCAATGGTAGGACGCCTTAGCGGTAACCCTAATGTCCTAGATCATTTTTTATCGAGGCAACTGTTCCGAGGCAACTTTGATCTTTAGACAGGAGGGCGGCCTCTAAAACACCCTATACTCAATGACCACGTCGAGGCAACCAAGTGAGGCGTACCCTAAGAGTGGCATGTGCGAGTGTGTCAGGTTTCATGTTAAGTTATCTTTGTACATGTTATGGTGAGCTACGATTGATTTTAATTTGAGGATAAGTCTTGTCATGCATAGCCTAGTTAACATACATCTAACAGTTAATAGTTACGGATAATAAAGCTAAACTATTACAAGGCGTCGGTCGGGTATTTACATCGCCAAAAACAAACCCTTGAAAAAGTAAATTGCGGGAAATTAAAGAAAAGCGATAAAAAAGTCCTAATTAAAGCTATTACATCCTAGGAGCAATTACATAATAATGGATCAAAAATAATCAAGAATAATATGCGCGAGGAAAAATTGAATCGGAGAAGTTCTTAGGGTTTTGACCCTTTTTGAGAAAGAAGGAAGTTTTTATTATTCATGAATTAAATTAAATCTAAGCTAATTAATTAATTAAATAAAAGAAAGTTATTTTTTGAGTTTTTTATATTTTTTAAGGAAAAAAGAAAAGATGGTCAAATATATTAATTAACCCTAATTCTATATCAATTTTATTTATTGTGAAGATATTAAAATTAACCTAATTACAAAAACTAAATTAATTATGTTAGCGTTTATTTACAAAAATAATAAATTAAGGGTGAAATTAATAAATAATAATAAAAAATATTATATTTTAGTTTTCTGATTTTATTATGAAAAAATTAATTTGGTTAATTAAGTAACAATAATAATAATAATTAGTAAAACAATTAAATGGAAAATATAAAAGAATAAAAGAAAAAAGGAATAAAACCCAGGGGGTGATGGGCCAGCTTTGGAGGTGTTTCTGGCAATTCTCAGGCCCAAATACTGCAAGCCCTTTTGACTTTTGTGATTATCCATGCGCTGGTTGACTAAGGACCATGACAGTCCTTCCATCTAGGCCATTGGATTTCAGTTTGAAGACATTTGGCGTCTGGGAATTGGAGATCCATGATATGCTATGCCTGCTGCGTCACACACAATCACCTAAAGAAAAATTATAACAAATATTTGGGGGACCTGGGGTTCG